AAGATGGAGCACAGGCTGTAGTTTTTCTGACAAATTGTTTCAACCAAAATTAGAGATGTTACTCTAAGAGATTAGGAGAACAAGCAGGGTCATACGTTTACATGTAGGTGTTTATTCTGCAGTTAATTTTCAGGGAATATTGTTGACAGACTATATCAGTCTGCTTTAACATTAGACTGACCGTAAAAGCGGTGAAAAACACAAGCAATAGCAGCATTATCATGATGGACTCATTCAGTAGCGAACTTGAGTTTATGTGATTTACACTTTTCGTTGAAAAAAGCTCTTTATGTCTACCTTTTTGAGCAGACATAAATGAGTTCACTGTACTTAAATGGCCTCCACAGTCACCAGAACTCAATTCAATAGAGTGTCTTTGGGGTTTGGTTGAATGGGGTATTCGCATTATGGACTTGCAACCGACAAATTTGCTGCAACTGCGTGATGCTATCATGCCAATATGGACAAAAATCTCTGAATAATATTTCCACTACCTTGTTGAATCCATGCTATGAAGGATTAGGGCAGTGCTGTAGACAAAAGGGGTCCAACCTGGTACTAGTAAGGTGTACCTATTAAAGTGGCCAGTGAGTGTAGTTCCTAGTCTTCTCGATCTAAAAATAGCAACTTTTCATTTTCGGATGGTATTAGTACATGATGTAACAACAAGTCAAGCTTTCAATAAGAAAACTATTGAAACTCTTTGGTCATTTTTGAGCGAGATGCTAATGATGGTGTGTCCAAACTCGAAGGGCCGGTATCCTGCAGATTTTAGCTCCAACTTGCCTCAACTCGCCTTCGTGTGCTTTTACCCACGTGGGGCGTGGGCGGGGCTGTGACATGCGCCGGAAATGGCTGCTGGGCCAGTTGGCTGCCCGCACTCAACGGATTGTTTTCCATTACCCCTGTTCCCATCCCCTCTGTCTATGTTGTGTCTTGCCGGTGTGCTTATGCTAAGATAGGGCTGTTTTTCTCCCTTTTCTCACTTTGTCCTAATCAAGGGCAAGCTGAGGGGGTGTTTTTTAGCCTAACTGTCCAAATGTATCTTTCTTCGTTTCTAAATGCTACCTCCTAAGATCTGTCTCCCCTGAAAAGTTGTTTGTGATGTTTTGTGTATGGTCTGGGGGGTCCAATTTTCGCTATACGAAAGTGTAGTGACAAATAAAGGCTTGATTGATTGATTGATTGATTGATTGAACACACCTGCAAGGATGTTTCTAGAAAGCCTAGTAAGAGCTTGATTAGCTCAAGCTCTTGATTAGCCTCAACTAGCCTAACATCTGCAAGCCCAGGTGTGTCTGATTTGGGTTGGAGCTAAACTTTGCTGGACACCGGCCCTCCAGGGCTGCGTCTGAAACCGCATACTTCCATTCTATATAGTACGTTAAAATCAGTATACGAGCCGAGTAGTATGTTCGAATTCATATAATTCGAAAATCAGTATGCGAGAAGTACCCGGATGACTTACTACTTCTGGCGAGATTCTAGAGTGCGCATCTCATGCATGCTGCGCTATCCCATAATGCCCTGCGAGCGAATTCATGAATTGGAGTAAAGCGACGCAATTGACGCAAGTATGTCACGTGACCATGACAAAATGGCGGATGTAGTACGTCCGAATTCCATTCATACTCTTCACGTTCATACTGCATAGAACATACTTTTCTAACGGCCGAGTAGTACGTTTAAATTCAATTGCAGTACCTACTGAGTAGTAGGCGGTTTCGGATGCAGCCCAGGACAGAGTTTGGACATGCCTGGTCTAATACAAATAATAGTGCTAAGCTAATTAGCCTATTTTTAAAAAAATGTGGAGTGTTCCTTTAAGCTAACCTTGCTTTGATTTACCTTTCAGGCAGTTACTCTCCTGAAAATGCAACAAAAGCCACCTATCTCTCACCCCCTGCATTCACCTTATCTGCAAGGACTAAGTTGTTCCGTAATGACCAAACTCCAGGTAGATGCAGAATCAGATCTATACAGCGTCAAGTGTGTTTGCTATGCATTAGCAGATGATTCTTCTTTCTCTCATTTCCAGGTCCAGCTGCGTACATGCTTCCCCCAGTTTTAGGACCAAAAGTTGTAAATAAAACATCTGCCCCAAACGTCTCCTTCAGCGGTCGTAGTGCAATCGGCAGCTTCCATGAAGATCTACGAAAGGTGCAGATCTGTCATTTTACAGCTTATACTTCGGGAAATGTATTTTGAAAGAATACTTGCAATCTTTTTCTCAGACTCCAGGCCCAGGGACGTACCAAGTGGTGGATCCATGTGTGTACAAACACAAAGGGCCTCAGTACAGTATGACAGGTCGTAACATGATGCCTGGAGACATGACCAAGAAGCCAGGACCTGGAGCCCACTATCCAGAAATGGTCTGTACCACTTTTATTAAAAAAGCATCAATTGTTCAAAAGTGAAATTCATGCGGTTACTAACAATTTCTAATACTAATAGATGCTGTAATTTTTCAGCTGATCAAATATATTGATAAGAAAAAGGTATTTTCATATAATTATCATATATGAACACTGCAAAAAATGCTTTTCTTGCTTATATTTCTTGTCTTGTTTCTAGTCTAAATATCTAAAAATTCTTACATCAAGAAGCATTTTCTAAACAAGCAAAACATATTGTCTTGTTTTGAGAAATAATATGTCAATATTAAGTGAGTTTTTCCTTAAAACAAGCAAAATAATCTGCCAATGGGGTAAGCAAAATAATCTTGTTTTTTCTTTTGACCTAAGATTATTTTGCTCACCCCATTGACTTGTGTAGTATCATGTGACACTGACACTGAAGACTGGAGTAATGAATAGTGATGCTGAAAATTCTGCATTACAGGAATAAATGACATTTTAAAATAATTTTAAATAGAAAGCCTTTGTTTTAAATTGTAGTAATAATTTTTCACAATATTACTGTTGTAATTCTATTTTAAATCAAACATTTATATTTAGGCTTTAATCACACCAAACATGTTTTTTTGCATTGAGATGTGCCTTTTTTAATGGTTTACTAATGGCTGGGATCGTTTTGCACTGTGCGTATGCATCCTGTGCACCTTGTGTTTTTACCACTTGCTGCACCTCATGTTTTTCCTGTATTATCTGTAAGTCTGCAGTTGAAAAAAAGTCAACTCAATGCGGATATCTCTGTGCGGATATTTTCTTTGGCTCTCAGCAAAAGCGGTCACACTTTTTTCCCTTTCCCCTCCATATCTCTCCTGGTGCTCTTGTCTCATCTTATTCTTTCTCTGAGGCTCTTCTTGGCCTGCTCTCCAAACAAATTATGGATTTGATCAACTGGTCTCTGAATGCAATTGACACCATGTTCTCGTTGAGAAGTCTGGGTTCAGGGGAACCCAACTGTCCAGTGGGTGTCCTTGCAGCTGGAGACATGATGGATGGATGGGAGAAGTTGCACGTCGTGTGCCTGGCCGCTCTGTCCCTGGAGGATATTGAAGATATCTATCTATTTGGAACTTTGATCACAGGGTTTTTGCTGATGTGCTTAGGCAGGACCCTGGGGTATCGACGTTTGATAAAAACGGTCAATGCGGCTCAAAGCCCCACCAAGCTGTCCGACTGAATTGAAGCGTTGGTGAGCAGAGTTGTTGGTACTTAGACTGTCGCACTAGATCGCAAATTGGAAAACATTGGGGAGAAACTAGCAGCGTTGCAATGTGATTTGGTCAGACCTGGAGACCATTGACGGACACTAGATATCTGCGAAATTAGCAGATATTGACCAGATATTGACAAATAAACAAACTGAAAAAAGGCATTACTATATACACACTTACTATATACGTAAACCCTTACCATATCATTTATCCATATTTCTTTTTGAGCAACAGTATAATACAGATTCTATTGATGTATCTTTTAAAAAATATGCATCCACAAAATCCCCTTGTAAAAGACTCTTGTAAGTCAACCAGCAAAAGAATGGAGGTGCTTAACAAGCTAAATTCTGAAATGCCAATTTTAAAATCCTTTTTTTTTTTCAATTAAAGAATTTCTTAATAAAAAAGTGCACAATCTTGTGAACCAAAAGTCATGTTTCGTCTCTCGTCAAACAATACTAAACAAATTATAAGAACTTTTCCCTTAATCTTTTAAAAATAATGTAACGCAAACAGGAGTTTGCATGTTCTCCCTGCGTTCGCGTGGGTTTCCTGCGCGTACTCCGGTTTCCCCCACAGTCCAAAGACATGCGGTACAGGTGAATTGAGTAGGCTAAATTGTCTGTAGTGTATGAGTGTGTGTGTGTGTGGATGTTTCCCAGAGATGGGTTGTGGCTGAAGGGGCATCCGCTGCGTAAAAACTTGCTGGATAAGTTGGCGGTTCATTCCGCTGTGGCGACCCCAGAATAATAAAGGGACTAAGCCGGCAAGAAAATGAATGATGAATGAATGTAAAGCAAACAATTGTTGTGGTCAAGTCAGCTTATTTGCTGCGGTTGAACATTAGCGGTTCATCCCAGAGGTGCAGCCAGCTAATTTTAGTGGATGCATTTTCTTTCTTTCTTTCTTTCTTTCTTTCTTTCTTTCTTTCTTTCTTTCTTTCTTTCTTTCTTTCTTTCTTTCTTTCTTCCGTTCTTTCTTTCGTTCTTTCTTGAATTTCTTTCTTGAATTTCTTTCTTTCTTTCTTTCTTTCTTTCTTTCTTGAATTTCTTTCTTGAATTTCTTTCTTTCTTTCTTTCTTTCTTGAATTATTGTAAATTTACATAATTGCATTTAAATTAATTATGTCAACAGCAAAATCTTATTGGGGTGACCAGAGGAGTGAAAAAATACTTTTCTTGCTTAAATAGCAACAGTACACACTATATTAATAAGCAAAATAAGACCCCTTAATCAAATTCAGTTTCCAGCTTAGAATTGCTCTCTACTAAGACTATTCAAGTAAATATTAGTATAATAAAACACGTTCGTCTGTCTCTTTCAACAGGTTTGCTTCACAAGAGCCAAAGCTCCCAGCTTCTCCTTTGGAATTCGTCATTCTGAGTACGTCGCTCCAACAATTGTGGATGGTGAAGATTAAGCAGGTCATTTCGAAATAAATTCTGTCACCTAAGCTATAATCTGTCATATCAGGTCTTAATATTGCTAGTCATGGTGTTCTAGTAAAAATCTTGCTCAAAGATGCAATAATTGTGCCACAATATGAGAATTAAGCTACTTTATCACTACTTCAGTCTGCAGTTATTATGCTTCAGAAATGTTTTTAAAATCTCACAAAATCAAAATGTATGCTTATTTTGTTACCGCACATACTTAGCCTTAAGGGGAATCATTAATTTGTGCAAGTTGAGCCCGTCAAAAAAATTGTAATCTTGAATCAAAAACTAACCAGTGGCTGTCCTTCTCTGATGATGTCAGTTGGATAGCTTGGTTGAAATATGCTTTACCACGCCCGTCGAACTGTTCTTGTGTTGCAAGTGAAGGATGAGAGGAGGAGTGCAAAAATTAAACTCCGCCCCCCACTAAATATTTTATTAAATTTGAAAATACATGATCATACTAAAATAAAGAGCCTGCAGCAACCTCCGGTTGACACAGACTTTAACTTTTTGATTTGATGCTTAAAAAATGGTTAAAGTTTTGAAAATAGCTGTATCCAGACTACTCAAAAGACCATTTATTGAAAAGAACCATACAAAACCAAGAATCCATTTCCACCATGAAGAATCTTTTTGAAACTAAAAGGTTCCACAGATGCCTTTGTTTGTAGGAGTAATATAGATTGCACCTTTAAAGGTGGCGGTTGGCGGTTGACCAGGTACTGTAACCCATTAGGTTTTGGAACAGAGCTAAAATGGCACAGAGATGGCAAACAGCACTGATGATTACTGTGTAAATCATGAATAAGTAAAACCTTTCAAGCACAATATTGGTGTCACTTTATTCTTATTTCACACTTTAGTCATACAGCAGGTGATCATTTAATCAAGTACACATATTTTTACAAGTACAATATTTTTAGTGACAAAATACATAAAACTTTTTTGTCGGGTTCATAAAATAATGTACTATTGAATCTAGGATTCAGTGCACTTATATGCGAGGCTAAGTCCTTTTTCATTCTTTGAGAAGAAGTAAAAACAAATGGGAAAATAGTTTTCTTTGATAATAATGATGATAGTATTATAGTGTTATTGAATGTCCAGGCTCATCTGTGCTGCTGAGAGCAATGTTTAGATAAATACTGTATGGCAGGGGTTCTTAAACTCGGTCCTGGAGGGCCGGTGTCCTACAGATTTTTAGCTTCAACTTGCCTCACATCTGCAAGGATGTTTCTAGAAAGCCTAGTAAGAGCTTGATTAGATAGGTGTGTCTGATTGGGGTTAAAGCTAAAATCTGCAGGACACTGGACCTCCAGGACTGAGCTTAAAAACCATTGCTGTATGTAATATGTTTATGCATACTTTCTTCTCCATAAACAGACTGAATTATTAGCCCCTCTTTGAATTTTTCCCCCTTTTGACATTTCCCAAATTATGTTTAACAGAGCAAGGAAATTTTTACAGTATGTCTGATAATATTTTCCTTTCAGTAGAAAGTCTTATTTGCTTTATTTCGGCTAGAATAAAAGCAGTTTTTAATTTTTTTAATAACCATTTTAAGGACGAAATTATTAGCCCCTTTAAGCTAACTTTTTTTCGATACTCTACAGAACAAACCATTTTTATACAGCAACATGCCTAATTACCCTAACCTGCCTAGTTAACCTAATTAACCTAGTTAAGAAAAAATAAATCAGTTACTAGAAATTATAATAATTTATTATATTTAATATAATTTTTTAAATAATATTTATTATAATTTATTAGAAAAAAGTTATTAAACTATTATGTTTAGAAATGTGTTGAAGAAATCTTCGCTCCGGAAAAAATAAAGAGGGAGGCTAATAAATCAGGAGGGCTAATAATTCTGACTTCAACTGGATATATATTCTGAGTTCTTTACATAAAAGCTGGGGAGTTTTTTACTTAAAAACATGGGTATTCGTTAAAAATGGCTTTTATAAAGTCCTATCATTAAAACAACTATAATTATTTACATTTGCATTCTGAGTTCACAAAATCAGTCTATAGACTTCCACATCAACCAAATCTTTTACACTTTTTTTTACAAACTGTAAAAAAATATTAAACTACAAATTATTAATAAAAAGTAATTAATACATAAAATCTTACATATAGCTCTTATGAACTTATATAATTTAAACAACAATTTATAATTGGCATTACACATTCTGAGTTCACATAAATATCAGTCTTTAGACGTCCACATCAACTAAGGAAGTTGAGGAATTTTTACACTTTGTTTTTTTTACAAACTGTTCACAAATTATCAATAACACATAATTAATAAAAAAAATTGACATAATTAAAACTCATATGTAAAATAACATCATTATTATCTATGTTATGCATTCTGAGTTCACATAAAATCCGTCTATAGACTATAAAAGTAATTTGGGGAATTTTTACACTTTTTTTATTTAACAAAATCTTCACAAATTGTCAATAACACATGATTAAAGCCGAGGTCACACTGCACTTTTTCACCCCATTGACTTCCATCCATGCACATGCGCATGTGAATGCGGCAGACCGGAAACGAAAACTCAAGTTACAAGTTTCACCAGCATGGTGAACTCTGACCAGCAAAATCGCATCACGTGACTGCATGAAACCAATAGAGAATCAATACATGACCTCTGTACTGAAATTAAAAATATGGACCAATCATTCCCTTTTTTAAAAGTCTAATCATCTCGTTTAATCCCACCCCTTTTTCGCAGCACCGTACGACAGAATTTTGCAAGCTCTAATGTGACCGCGGCATAATACATGAAAAATTGCCTTTATAAACTCATAATTAAAACGACATCATTATTATCTACATCATGCATTCTGAGTTCACATTAAAAAAACAGTCTATAGACTAAAAAAGGAATTTGGGGAACTTGTTTTTCCACAAACTCTTCACAAATTTTCAAAAATATTAATAATACATATATAAATCTTACATATAGCTCTAATAAACTCATATTGGCAATAATTATGTTTCCACTGCAGTCTTCAATGGTACGATCCTCAGCGGATGCTTCATACAGTGAACATAAAAATAAGGAAACACTCTCTCTGTGAAAGTGTGTTTAAACACATGCAGACTGATATTGCGGTCCGAGTCGATGAATGTGACTTTACCCTTATCCCAGTCCAGCTTCACCCTGATCCTCTTAATTTTCTGGCTGACTCGCAGCAGCGTGATGGCCTCTGGAGAATACCCCTTCCCGTATTTACCATTGCAAAAGCCCACATACCACATGCCCATCCTGAAGTGGTTGAGTCTGTTTTTGTAAGTGGATTCTGTGATCACTCCGATGGCCCACGCTGTGTTGTCGCCCACCTCCACGTCCCAGGTGTGAGACCCTGCGGTGAAGCCCTCAGAACCGAGAATACTGGTGTAGCCGTCATATCTTTCGGGGTTTGCTGGAAGCTGCTGGAAGTGTTCGTCAGAGTATGTGATAGTGGTCAGATCATCCGACACCAGCAGGTAAGGATGGCCGGTGTTGGGGTCAAAGGTTACTGGGTCTGTGAGGAAAGAGATACTTTTTTATTACAGTCTTCTAAAATATCTGTAAATGAGTGGTTTTTCTTATTTTGTGATTCATATTTTTAATTTCCCTGTTTATTTATGCTTTTGAATTGCTTCATAGGACCTTGATCTTTCGTCCAACAACTTTTTTTTTTTTTGGAAATTTTTATTTAAAATTTTTTAATATATATTTTTCCAGAACAACCCCTTCCCCAACAATTTAGCCCCTTACAGATGAGGGAGTACATAGGAAAATGAAATTATAATGAAATGATATATATATATATATATATATATATATATATATATATATATATATATATATATATATATATATATATATATATATATATATATATATATATATATATATAATAAATAATAATAATATTAATTAAAAGAAAATAAGTAAAATAAATAAATAAATAATAATTAAATATATTTGTACATCAAGTTACATTGTGTTACACTGTAGTTGCCTCAAATTACAGAGGTGATAGGTTAAGTAACCTCTAAATATACATATCTAAATATGTTGTAATGCTTTTGCACATCTTCAGTCTCATCTTTTCATTATATAGTCGTCCAACAACTTTTAACCTTGAAAAGTTTTTTAAAAAGTTACTTTTATTACCATTTTTAATAGTTTAAAGTGATAAATTGTCTGGGTTTTGGGTCTGGGTCTGTGTATATAACGCTACATAAACCTTGTAATACACTGCCAGTGCATTTTCTATTATTTTACCGACTTACTTCTCTATATATTACTTTGTATATATTTTATTATTTCAAACTACTAAAATGTAAATAAGTCACTTTGTTTAACTGTAGAGTTGATTTTTACAACATCAAAAGTCGACAGAGCAGAGATTAAGCTCCCATAGTGCAATTTTCAACCGTAAATAAACACTTGTGAATCACAAAATACGGAAACTGTTATTTAACAGATATTTTTTTACAACAGGTTTATATATCCAAGGTCAACCTTCTGATAATATACAGCAACTAAACATACATTTACTAGATTTATTCGTTCTTAGTTTTAGTAAAATGTTAATATTTATTTTATTCTACACTGTAAAAATATCTGTTAATTAATAGTTTCTGTATTTTGTGATTCACCAAATTTTCCGTTTATTTATTGTTGTGAATTGCTTTAACGGTGCGTTGACCTTTGCTCATTCGACTTTTGATGTTAAAAATTCAACCCTACAGTTGAACAAAGTGACTTTTATTGACATTTTAGTAGTTTGATATGATAATATAATATGTATAATAAATAATATATAGAGAAATAATTCTGGAAAATAACAGAAACTGTACTGGCAGTTTATTACAAGGGTTTTGCAACATGAAACATAACACCAATCCAGACAATATAGTACTTTTAAACTATTAAAAATGTTCATAAAGGTCACTTTTTCCAACTTTTTAAGGTTAAAAGTTTTTCAAGGTCCCATAATGCAAATCAAAATACTGAAAATCATAAAAAACACGAATCACAAAATACAGAAAACTGTTAATTTACAGATGTTTTTACAGTATACGACATTGTCTGATGACATTTCTTCGAAATTTTACCTAATATTTAATATGAAGATGTCTAAAAAGATTTTGAGACTTTTTGGCATTTTATGTAAATAAAAACGCTCTATATGACAACATCTGTATTTTAAAGTTGAAAGAAATACCATCAGTAGTTTACATAATGAAATAAATAATATGTTTTACTATACATAACCATGTATGAGCGGTTTTGGCATAAAATAACAAACACCTAGCATGTTTTAGACAATTTTAAAATCTATATAACTAACCCAGTGTGCAAATTTAAAAATGACATCAAGGATGGCGTCAAAAATGCAAATTGATTTGATGTCAAATCCTTGACGTTGATTTGACATCCACACATTTACCACCAAAGTAATGACATCTACCAATGGCATTTAAACAGTGTCAAAAATCTATTACACCACAGTCCCTTAATCGATTTGTGATGCCATTGTTAGGTGTCAGTTTAATGTTTACATTGACGGGACTGCGGATGTAAATTAGCTTTATAGCTAATTCTGACATCACATGTCATGTTGTACATTGTACCTGTATAAATAAATAAATAAAATAAAATGTCAATTTGACATCAAGGTAGCCAATTGATTAGCATTTTTAAATGTTTTGATGTTATTTTGATGCCCGCTTGGTACCGATATTTTAATAATATTTGGTGGATTTTTAATTACAACTAGTAAAAGCATTGGAAATTTTACTCAAACCCATGCATAACTCCTCACTCTCAACAGCCAAGCCTGCTCTGTTTAGTTATCTGATTGGCCCAGTCTGCTGTGTGATTGGTATAAACCTACCCTCATTACCATATCTAAATTTCAGCTCTTACTGAGCCGTTACAAACACAGATTTTCATTTTGCAGATCAGAAAATGATTTGTGGACAACACAAGCACCAGCTCCAGTTTCAAACAGATTTGCTCTCAGCCAATGAAGATCACAGACTGGCATTATGCAAATTTAAGAGGACATGAGTGACTTTGATCTTCAGAACTTTATACATCAGCTACATACACAAATAGCCTTTTTACATTACACAATATATGAAAGATACAATCTGGAGAGGAATAATAGGGGCACTTAATAGTACAGATAAGAAGATTTGTATCTGCTCAGTACTCACTGTATCGAATGTTTTCATGTAGTTTCTTTGACACTTTGAACGTCACGTTACCCACATGCTCTGCAACATTAATGAGCATTCCTGAGGGTCCAGTCTGATCTCGCAGTGAACACTTTGTCCTGAAAAAACATTTAGTAGTCAGTACTTGATGTGGGTTTGTATTTAGATCTTGTTAAAGAAAAAAAAGCTTCATCTTACATGTCTATTGTAGTCTTGTAGTTCTAGAAATAAATAAATGTAGATAAAAAAATTAAAACTGCTTTTTTTTTCTAGACATAAAACATAAACGACTTTCTCCAGAAGAAAAAATATTATAGGAAATACTGTGAAAAGTTCCCTTGCTCTGTTAAACATCATTTGAAAAATATTTAAAAAAAAGAAAAAAAATTCACAGGAGAGCGAATAATTTGGACTTTAACTGTATCTATTTTCCAATTCTTTAATTAATCGAATGAAACGCTCCTCACCAAGAGAAAGGGGTAGGCATTCCTCTGCAGCTGCTCCTCGATGGACTCAATAATGTGTGAGAGAGAAAACATCCCTGACTGGATCTCCTGCATCTTCTGTTTAATGATCTCGTTCTTCTGCTCTTCCTCTCTCCTCAGAGCCATCACCCGAGCCGATTCTTCGCCTTCCAGGAACTGATGAAGCTTCTTAAACGCATCTCTAATTTGGGTTTCTGTGAGCTGGCTTTGCCTCTGGACATGGGCAGAATCAGAATCAGACTCAGATGTTCATACGGCACAATCTGTGAGTAAATGCTGGAAGTTTCTGCTGTTTCTCACCTTAATGAACTCTGCTGTTTCATCCCAGGACTGTTTACAATGCTCGTAGTCTCTGAGCTTCTCTAGAAAGGTCTTCAGCTTCATCTGGAGCTCTTGCTGGAGGGAATACAAGTCAGAAAGGGAACATTTTGTTGTAATACTTATAGTAATACACACTCAAAAAACGACTAATTTAAATGACTTACAGAGCATCAGGAAAGTAATCATAGCACTTACAGTCTTATTCCAAAATTTATTACATTCATTTATTTCCTCAACATTCTACACTCAATACCCCAAAATGACAATGTGAAATAAGATTTTTTTTAATTATTGCAAATTTATTAACAATAAAAAACCTGAAATTTTTATATTTTTGAATTATTTATTTAGATATTTTATTTTATTTCAATTTTATCCATTCATTCATTTTCCTTGGGCTTAGTCTCTTATTTTTCAGGGGTCGCCACGGCGGAATGAACCACCAACTTATCCAGTATTTGTTTTACATAGCCGGTGCCCTTCCAGCTGCAACCTAGTACACCCACACACACTTAGTTTATTACACACACATTATTAGTTTAATCAATTCACCTGTACTGCATGTCTTTGGACTGTGGGGGGGAACTGGAGCACCCGGAGGAAACCCACACTAACACGGGGAGAACATGCAACCTCCACACAGAAATACCAACTGGCATGGTTTGGGGCTCGAACCAGTGACCTTATTGCTGTGAGGTGACAGTGCTAACCACTGAGCCACCTTTATTTTATTTTATTAAAACCTTTTTGAATAGTTCCAGACATGTTTCTGTAACATTTGGTTTCAGCTAGTGATGCTCAGATGTTTTGACAGTGTATTATCACCATGTTCATCTTTTACGTGACGATTTTGCCAGCTTTGTTTACAAAAGTCAAACGGGTTGTTTTACAGCCAATATTTGACTTTATCAGCAAGTTCCCATGAAACTTTGTTTTTGCAAGTCTGAGAACATGTGTCATATAAGGGCTCTTACTGTGCTGAGACCAGTTTGACAAGACATCTTTTATATGTCAATGCTTTTTTTCGATCCAATAAATTCTGACAGCCAAAATCACTGAGATCTTCCGCAAGCTAGAGAGTTTGACCCAGAATGGAAACTGGGTAAAAGTTTACAGTACATTAAACATTGCTTTTTTAACCACAATTGTTTCTACAATGTTTTGTTTAATATTCAAATATAGCAGTAATTCATTAAATATTAATAAATTTGCATATTACTAGAAAATAAAAATCATTCACAATTCTTATTTTTTATATTTTTGCAGCTTTATTTATTTATTTGTAATTTTAGGACTTTTACAAACATTTTTTGCAACTCTTCATTTATTTAAGTTTTTTATTCTAATATTTTTATTTATTATTTTATATTTAGACTTAACTTTATTATATTTGGGTTTTGGTTTTAGTAATTTTAGTACTTCAATATAATCTTAATATTTAGTGGTCAACACAACATTTTTATTTTATTTATTTCTCACCTAACATTTACATTTAATTTATGTCATTTTTAGGATATATAATTTTTTGGTTTTAATTTTAGTTATTGTATAGATTAGTTGTATTTATGTATTCAGTTAATTATTTTATTCTATATTTATTTAAAATAATAGCATCATTGAGATGTCCAACAACGTTTGACCAAGAATAAAAACTGGGTAAAAGCACATTACACTAAAAACTGCTAAATTGTACAACAATTGTTACTACAATATGCAAATGAGATGACATTGAAAATTATATTTGTAAAAATTTCCAGCAATGTCAAGTTTAAAATTTGCATTAAAAATGTAGGTTTCAAGGTCCATTTTACTTCAACTTCAACTTATTTTCAAGTAATTATTTATTTCAGTTTTATTTAATTTTTTGTTTTAATTTTTTATTTTACATTTGTTCATTCATTTTCTTTTTGGCATAGTCCCTTTTTTAGCCCCTTAGGTTTTTTATGCAGTGGATGCCTTTCCAGCTGCACTGGAAAACACTCTTACACACTCATTCACACACATACAGTACGGACAATTTAGTTTACCCAATTCACCTAAAGCGTATGTCTTTGAACTTGTAGGGGAAGGAAACCTACGTGAACATGGTAAACCTACGTGAACATGGTAAACCTACGTGAACACGGGTAAACATGCAAACTCCACACCGAAATGTCAACTGACACAGCCGAGGCTCGAATCACTGACCATCTTGCGGTTAGGCGATCAGACGCCCCCGACTAAACTTAATTTAATTTAATTCAATACAATTCAATTCAATTCTATTCTATTTTATTTTATTTTATTTTATTTTATTTTATTTTATTTTATTTTATTTTATTTTATACACCCACAATCACTGGGACTGACCCACAATGAAAAGGGTTATAGTTCACATAACTTAAAGTTTTTTTCTACTTCATTTTTTACTACAATGCTTTGTTTAAATATGCAGATAAGGTAGAAATTCCTTAAATATGTGCAAATTTGTAAACTTCTAGCAAAAACATTTGAGCGTTTCTTTTCTAACACACAGAAAAGGATTTCACAAAGGGGATTTTGGGAGTCATAATTCACCATAATTCATAAGATATATCTACTGACAATCAGAAAAATAAATAGCATTTTTTGTTGAATAAAAGGGATGTTAAACTAACATATTTCTCAGTAAAAATCTTCAGAATACAGATGCACTGCTGAATTGTTTTAATTCTTCATTACATTTACATTAAAGGGAGGGGCGACACTGTCGCCTCAAAGCAAGAAGTTTGCTGGTTCGAGTCCTGGCTGGGTTAATTAGCATTTCTGTGGGGAGTTTGCATGTTCTCCCCGTGTTGGCGTGGGTTTCCACCAGGTGCTCCTGTTACCCTGACAGTCCAAAGACATAGGCTATCGGTGAATTGAATAAACTAAATTGGCCATAGTTTATGAGTGTGTATGGGTGTTTTCCAGTCCTGGGTTGCAACTGGAAGGGCATCCGCTGTGTAAAACATATGCTGGATAAGTTGGCGATTCATTACGCTTTGGTGACCCCTGATGAATAAAGGGACTAAGCTGAAGGAAAATGAATGAATGAATATACATTGGGTCAAACATGGACAAACCCAATTAATTTTTTTTCAATTCATTTTAAAGGAACTGTTGGATTTGTACATATTTTGAAAAAAGAAAAAATAACAGCATGTTTTAGAGTCTACCATATAAATAAAAATGCTGCTGAAGTGAAGATTTATGGGTGAGAAATATATACTATAATAAAAATCTATAGACACAAACTGATATGAATGGAAAAAAAGATGCACTTAAAGGAATGGTTGACCCAAAAATGAAACGTCTGTCATTATTTACTCACCCTTTACTTGTTCCAAAACTGTTTAAGTTTCTTTCTTCTGTTGAGCACAAAATATATTTTGAAAAATGTTTGAAACCCACACCCATTGACCTACAAGGTATTTATTTTTCCTACTATAAAAGTCATTGGTTACAAGCTTCCAACATTTTTCAAAAATAACTTTTTATAAAAAGAAAAAAATATTAGTGATTAAAAGAAACTCATAAAAGTTTAGAACCACTTAAGGAAGTGTTCATGTTCATTTTGTAGTGCTTTAGAGGTGTATATTTTAGCTATTTTCTCACCCTGAGATGATATTTTGAATTGTTGAATTTTCCTACTATGAAAGTCATTTTTCAAAATATCTTCTTTTGTGTTCAACAAAATAAAGAAACCCATTAAAGTTTAGAACCACTTATAGGGTGAGTAAATAGAGCATTGTTTTTTGTGAACTATCCCTTTAAAGGTATATTTGAGCTGTTGTCTCACCCTAGATATTTCGAAAAAATGTTGGAAACAACTGACTTCCATAGTATCTGTTTTATAGAAGTCAGTGTTTGCAGGTTTTCAGCTTTCTTCAAAACATCTTTTGTGTTCAACAGTAGAAATAATCTGTAACAAGTTTGAAATCACTTGAGAGAGAATAAAAGGTGAATGTTTTCTCACCCCTAAAACGATATTTTAAAAAAATGTTGCAAACCGGTAAACATTGACCTCCAAGGTATTTGTTTTTCTTACTATGGAAGTTGGTGGTTACAGGTTTCCAACATTTTTCAAAATATCTTCTTTTGTATTCAACATAATAAAGAAAGTCATAAAGGTTTAAAACCACTTCAGGAGAGTAAATGTTCATTTTTAGTGAACAGACCTTTAAAGGTGTATATTTGAGCTGTTTTCTCACTCAGAAAAGATATTTTCAAAAATGTTAGAAACCATTGTCTTGCATAGTATCTGTGCCGATGTTTGCAGCTTTTTAGCATTCTTCAAAACATCTTCTTTTGTGCTCAACATTAAAAAGAAACTCCCAACACCTTTGACTTGAGAGAGAATAAAAGGTGAAGTGTTTTCTCACCCTGAAAAGATATTTTGAAAGATGTTGGAAACCGGTAAACATGAACCTCAAAGGTATTTGTTTTTTCTACTATGGAAGTCAGTGGTTACAGGTTTCCAACATTTTTCAAAATATCTTATTTTGTGTCCGACTAAATAAAGAAGCTCATAAAGGTTTAGAACCACTTCAGGGAGAGTGCATATTCATATCCCTTTAAAAGTGTATATTTGAGCTGTTTTCTCACCCTGAGAAGATATTTTGAAAAATGTTGGAAACTATTGACCACCAAAGTATCTGTGTCAATGTTTGCAAGTCTTCATCTTTCTTTAAAACATCTTATTTTGTGTTCAACAGATTAAAGAAACTCATAAATGTTTAAAACCACCCCTGGATGTGTAGATCAATCTTAGTTTTTAGTGAACTGACCTTTTAAAGGTGTATATCTGAGCTGTTACTCACCCTGAGGTCCTGTGAAGCGTCTTCAGCAGAACGGATGTGGTGGTTCTTGTGCACTGTAGTGCTTCTGCATTTTCCACAAATCATCACCTGGTCTTGAGTGCAGAAGAAATCCAGCGGTTCTTTATGCAGACTGCAGAAACCCACACTGTCCTGTGGTGGCTCCTGGGGCACCTCCTCCCTCATCAGTTCACACATGTTCCTCAGCATGATGTTTATAGGGGGATTGGGGCTAGGGGAGACCACTCTGCAGATGGGACACTCTCGAGAACCTCGCCGGTTCCAGAAGGTCTTGATGCAGATGTTGCAGGTGCTGTGGGAGCAGGGGAGCAGGACTGGATCTCTGAAGATGTCGCAGCAGATGGGGCAGTAGAAATCCTCCTCTGTGATGGACTGTCCACGGTCAGCCATTCTCACAGCTCTTCCTCCTCTTGGTGTTCGGTGTGTGTCTGGTCCAGCTGTCAGTGAGCAGAGAACTTTCTGTCAGCTGTGTTTACATCCCTCATGCCTAGAGATAGAGGGTGGAGCTTACAAGAGCATGCTCTGAGAAAAAATGTTAACCAGTTACCTTAAAAAAATGTGTCCTCGTTATTTAAAATGCTTAAACATATTTGACGGCATATTTAAAAAAAAAAACTAATTTAAAAAAGTGCCTGTGAGGTTTATGTTTAATGGTTGGGTTAGGCCATAAGTGTTTTTTACAGTATACACTAAAAAAATGATTCATTATATTTACTATGTTTTTAAGTGGTTGCAAACTATACTATATTCAACTTACTTTGGTTATTTAAATCCACTTAATAATTAAGTAGGCCTAAATCCAATTAATCATTTTTTGATCAGTGTATTATTCCTTCATTCATTATTTTTTTTGTCGGCTTAGTCCCTTTATTAATCCGGGGTCACCAAAGCGGAATGAACCGCCAACTTATCCAGCAAGTTTTTACGCAGCAGATGCCCTTCCAGCCGCAACCCATCTCTGGGAAAAACACGCACGCACGCACGCACGCACGCACGCACGCACGCACGCACGCACACACACACACAATTTAGCCTAACCGGAGCACCCGGAGGAAACCCACGCGAAGGCAGGGAGAACATGCGAACTCCACACAGAAACACCAACTGAGCCGAGGTTCGAACCAGTGACCTTCTTGCTGTAGGGCGACAGCACTACCTACTGCGCCACTGCCTTTCAGTGTATTGTATACTGTAAAACACTTACACTTTGGTCAAAAGTTTGGGGTCAGTATAGGATTTTTAAATGTTTTAAAATAAGCTTCTCCTGCTCAGCAAGGTTGCATTTATTTAATCAAAAACACAGTACACATTGTAAAATTGTGAAATTTTTTGCACTATAAAATAACTGTTTAAAAGTAGTTTGTAATTTAATTTAATCATTTATTCCAGTGATTTAAAGATGAATTTTCAGCTTCATTACTGCAGTCGTCAGACTCACATGAACCTTCAGAAATCACTTTAATATGAATTGTTATTATTATTACTATTACTATTATTATTATTATTATTATTATTATTATTATTAGTGGTAATAGTGATAAAAGCAATAATGACTGCAGGAATAATTTTAAAAAACTACATACAATAAGAAAGCAGTTATTTCATATTGTAACAAATATTTTAAAAACATTTTTTACATTTAATAAATGCTGTCTTGATGAACAGAATAGTTTTCTTAAAAAAAAAAAAAAAAACGTGGCATATTTAAAAATGTACCTGTGAGGATTGGGTTTAGTGGTAGGGGTAGGATTAGGCCATATAAGTTTTTTACAATATAATACATCTTTAAGTGGTTGCAAGCTATATAAACTATTATATATTAAACTTAATTTAGCTTTTTAAATTTACAAAATAAAAAACCTCCTCCTAACTTTTGACCGGTAATGGTAATGGCCAAACCCTACCCCTACCCTAACCCAAACCTCACAGGCACATTTTAAATATGTCTTTTCACCACTTCTTCTACAAGTGATGTCACTGAGGGTTGGGGTTGGGGCAGGCCCGGATTGGCTAATCGGGAGGACCGGGAGAATTCCCGGTGGGCCGGTCCGTTTTTTGGCCGCGAGGGCCGGTGTCCATAACTCCAGAATCTGTTGCTCTCAGCAGTCACTTTTTAAATTAATTAATTTATTTACTTGACCACAGTCTTCTTATTCATTATTTTACCGCAGCTCTGCTCTTATTATATACTGCCAGCCTGCAGGTTAATGATGATATAACTCTGATGAGTTACTTCTTATTGTACAACTGTTATGGTCCAGTGGTTAGCTTATTTAGATTATTGTTATTATATATAAGAATATAATAAACACTTACAGTCTATAAACACAACTGAACATGTACAGGTAAGTGGCCTATAAATGCTGAGTTGTGTTTACAGATGTTGTGAGACACATCCATCATTCTTGTTTTTGTACTGTATGTAGGATGGTAAAATCTGGATCCATCCTGTTCTGTCCTGTTCATGCACTCAGTGACCCTGTGGGAAAGAAGAAGCTTTACTTTTCTATCAGATTATTCATCGAGTAGATCTGTATATAACATTTTTGCTGTACTGTGTATTCTCAAAGTCAAGAATGTGACCAAGACGACATTCTGTAACGTACCGCTTTCTCACACTTCAAAGGTAAGATTATTGAGTTTGATATTACTGACAGGCAATTTGTCAAACACAAGGAAATCATTCTTGGTACTCTTTCTACTATTTGTTTCCAGGAAGGTCAAAAAATAGGTTAAAGTTGACTGCAAGGGATGAATAATTATTTTAAACTAAAATAATGCTTAAATTGATTCTGTTTTTAGTAAAAGTTAGTTCTCAAATATTGTATGGTATATAGCTGCTTTATTTGGTTATGACAGATGATTAAAAAGTGTGTATAAATGTGTCAATTCACCTGTCATCATCAGTGTTTCCCCACAATATTATGCATTTTCAACACTAAAGAATAATAAATGTCTGAATCCACAAAATTGCAACATTTTTATGATGATAATATAAGGCATAAGTAAGAATAAAAGTAGAGGAACTCATTCATTCATTCCTTTTCCTTCAGCTCAGTCCCTTTATTCAACAAGGGTCGCCACAGCGGAATGAACCGCCAACTTATCCAGCATTTACACAGCGGATGCCCTTCCAGCTGCAATGCAATGAAAAACATCCATACACACACTCATTCACACACACTCAAACACAAGGGCCAGTTTAGTTTATTAAATTCACCTATAGTGCATGTCTTTGGAATGTGGGGGAAACCAGAGCACCTGGTGTAAACCCACGCCAATAGATGGAGAACATGCAAACTCCATACAGAAATGCCTACTGGCCCAGTCAGGACTCAAACCAGTGCTTCTTGCTGTGGAGGCGACAGTGCTAACCACTGAGCCACCGTGCCACCCACACTGAGGAACTATCAAAACAAAAATACAGTCATTAATCACAAGCAGTGAAGCTTTGAATCATACAAATTTGGACATCATGCTCGGTTTACATATTGTTTTATGAATAGCCAACAATGAATTCAGACACTCTGAGCTCACATCCTGTTTATGAGTTTTTGAAAATCCAGACGCAGTGATCAACCCAGTTTACAATTTAACGTTCTGAAAATGTTCCCCTAATGTTACCACACTGTAAAAAATGATATGATCAATTAGTCCTGACAGCATATGTTTTAGGTCATTGTCACTTGCTAAAGTAAGTTAATCATGTTCTAACTTAATTTTATAAGTTGCACAAGCTGTTTTAAGTCAGTTTAGCGTAATGTAAGTTCAATGAACCCATAAAGTTAATTTGATTCAGCTTTAAAATGTAAGACAACCAGCATTTTTTTCCCCAGTGCAGTAATTTAAAACGTTAAAATGAAATCTTTTGTGAACTTTTAAAATATGTTTTTGTTGCTGTTATATTAACATTATCGTTTGGTTACAATAATGTTATTAAAATGTTTTTACAACGTTCTATTCATTCATTTGTTTTCCTTCGGCTTAGTCCCTTTGTTCATCAGGGGTGGCCACAGCGGAATGAATCACCAACTTATCCAGCATATGTTTTATGCAGCGGATGCCCTTCCAGCTGCAACCCATCACTGGGAAACACCCTTCACGCACATTCACGCACATATACGGACATTTTAGCTTACCGAATTCCCCCATACTACATGTATTTGGACCCAAGCCAACATGGGGAGAACATGTAAACTCCACACAGAAATTCCAACTGACCCAGCCGGGGTTCGAACCAGCGACCTCTTGCTGACACCATGACACCCCAACGTCCATTCACATTATACAAATCAAATTCCCTAATATTAGTAAGTTACAAAAACATAATTGTGGAAAGTTATTAGAAAACTGAGATGTACAGTTTTGTTTAAACTTTGTATTAAAGTTCCTGTTTGTCCGTATCATTATAAATTTTTTTTTTATTCCAGTCCAGTCTTGTAACATTAATGTTCTATGAACATTTTTTATCAACATTATGATGTTCAGAACTGACGCCCTGAAGACATTCCAGGAACATGTTCTAAAAATGTTTTTTCTGTCAACATTACAAGACTGTTCAAGATTTATTTTAATGATGTGACATGCTAAATTGACACAACTTTTCAGGAATGTTCTGAGAATGTTCCCTGTCAGCTGGGAGCACACTTCAGGCCCGTAGCCAGCCTGATGAAAGGAGTGGTTCTTTTTTCTTAAAATGTGGACGTTTTCGCAGTTATTCACCTCATTTTCTATTTAATTATGATATTTCAAAACTGCATTTTAGAGACATTTGAAGCACAATTTTTGAGCTGATATTAGCTTGTCAAATGGTCATCATAACCACACTTTTTAATTTAATAAAATATTTCTAAAAGATTTTGAATAAATAAATCTGAATAAATATTTATAAAAACAAATACATCATATATCATTACAAAATAAAACACAGGAATGTTAAAGTTTTATATTAAAAATTGTAGCCTATTGTAATTTATTAGGTAAATAACAAACCAGCCAGCACATTCACCTTTCCTCATTTCCATTACATTTCCTCTGTCAGAATTTGGCTATTTAAATAATAAAAAAATAAAACATAATAATAATAAAAGAGCTTTATGACTTTTATTTGACAAAAAATTCCCGGATAACAACAATAGCCAAATTAGTATTTAAATCAATTGTAATATGGGCTGCTTTTGATGCTTCACACCTTTTTATCTATCATGCTTTTGTTTCAAGAATAAGGTCCAAGATTTAAAATAAACGCTACTTGCAAAATGTTTTCCTAATTTACAAAAACTACAGTAGCGAAAAATGACTTCACTTACATCTAATTGTATGTTTTCTTGCACAGCTGGATGTTGGACTCATGGAATATAAAAGTTTGCATTGGCCAAAACTGACTGACTGAAGTTACACCAATGTGAGGGTCAACAGAGGATTTGGCTTGGTCTTAAAGCCTTTTTCAATGGGTCATTTTCACAATTTATGATGGTACAGCAGTCAAATTAGTGCAAACGATCTCATGCATGGGACAAATTATGGACTTTTGTCATTAAGCAATGGGTCTTTCAAACCAGCCGAACTCACCCTGGACACAGACCTGCTCTTCCTGTTTTATGAATACTATGAATGTTCTATTTCTAGTATGGAATTAAGATCTATTTAGACACAAAAAAGTTTATGTTGCTTTCATCTAATGTACTATTCTAACATAGAGCCAAGATTTAAAATATTTTTCATTAGTAGCTACTAGTAATAATAATAATAATAATAAATTTTATTTATAAGACACTTTTCTAAGACCCAAAGTGCTTACAAGGCACAACAAAGCACAGTAATACAATAAAAAATACTGTAAAAACACAGTAAGAGATAACACAAATTAAAAACTGACCTAGGATGTCCAAGTGTGGGTGCATGGTAAGAGAATGCCCTACCTCCCATGGTGCTGAGTTTACAATGAGGCTGAAACAGCGTAGTACCCGAGGCAGAGCGTAGACAGCGAGAGGCACAAGAAATAGATATCAAGTCACAAATGTAACCCGGAGCAGAACCATGAACAGCTTTAAATGTTAAAATCAATGTCTAAAAATCAATACGAGACTTGACGGGCAGCAAGTGAAGCAGTTGGAAAACAGGAGTAATGTGAGGCCGAGATGATGTATGTCAACACACGTGCAGCAGAATTTTGGATGTATTGTAAAATTTTGAGAGAATTAGTTGCCAAACAGAGAGTAGCAAAAATACAAACGAGACATTATAAAAGCAAAGACAAGTCTTCCAGCATCAGGCCTCGAGAGGAAAGGACGTATGCGGGCTATATTTCTAAAATGATTAAAGACTGTGTTAGTTAAATGTTTAAAATGAGGCTTCAGACTAAGCTGAGCATCGAGGAGAACACCTGCGGAGATGGTAATAAGACAGACTCATCAACTGTTAACTCAAATTCCCTATATCTATTTATTTTAGAAGAATGCCCAATCAATAACATCTCGGTTTTTGAACTATTCAGTTTAAAATAATTACTGTATAATAATTATTGTTACATCCAGGCTTTAATTTCAATTAAGCAAGCGTTAAGCGTAGACATAGATGCTAATAAATTTGGAGAAGTGCTAATATAAAGCTGAGTGTCATCAGCATAGCAATGATAACTAATATCAAATTTTCGCAGGGTTTGACCAAGAGGCAACACATAAATACTAAAGAGAAGTGGACCAAGAACTGACCCTTGGGGGACACCGATACCAGTATTTCCTTTCTGTCACTCTGTCAAAAGCAAAGGATAAAGTAAAGGGATAGTTTACCCTAAAATAAAGAAATATAATCATTTACTCAACCCTCATTCGTTTAAAGCCTAGTTTATTTCTTCTGTTGAGCAAAAAAGCAGATATTTTGAATTATGCTAGTAACGATAGCTTGCACCAATGGGGTTTATGCACAGCTAGTGTTTTTCAGCCAATGATGAACTTCGGTGAAAGGTTAATGTGACTCATAAGGTTCATCTTACAGCATCAGTGTTGTAATATAATTTAATTCTAATCAGTTAAATAGACTTAATCATCCATTTGGTTGTTAAAGCGTAAAAAGAGACGGAAGACCGTTTAAATGCAGGCACCATCATTAGCAGCAGGCAGAAGTACTATTGAAAATACTGAGGTAAAATTAATTTCCATATTTTAAAAACATGGAGCAGAAAAACAGAATTTAAAGCAGTGCTTCTTGTTTGGTCTGATACCTATAGATATATACATTAGATATCGCATGCGTCAATAGCGCCGCCACATTTGTACAGTGCTCCCAGGACAAATGTCATTCAATCGCACTAACTAACGCCAATCTAAAGATGTTGGACCTCTGCACTGCGTATGGGTGTAGTAATAAGCGAACAAAGAAAACAAAGCATAAAGGCAGAACATTTCATAGGTAAGATTTAGCTTTTTACGATTTTGTATGTTATGAACGTTTGTGCTCAACGAGTATAGATGATAATACAGTCACTTACTGCACTGACTATAAGGCAAAGTAGCACAAACTCGCACTAAATATAGACTGATGCTAGTTTTGTTGAATAAAATAAGCAAACTATGTAAATGAAATATGGCAACAAGATGCTGCGGTGCCAGAAGCTTGTATTATTGTCGGCTAAGTGAAATAACAGCTAGTTTTTAAAGTAACTTATGATAACACAACAGTGCCTGCGCCTCAATGTGCACAATGTCCACCCTAAATTATTGAATATTACAAATGTTATGTACAGATCAGAAAGGTGGATATGCACATTGAGACGCAGGGTTATCGATGGTTCGCATGAGTCATTCATAACGGAGATTCATTCACAAACGAATCACTCCCTAGAAGTGAAAGCAGGAGAGGGGGTGTGTTTCAGGACATGGCATAGATCAAATTAAACAGGTAGGGTGAATAGTACATTTCCATGCGCACAAACACACTCTTTGTTGGCAATGCCAAAAAAAATCCATCGATGTAGAAAAGTTATGTCAAATTGTAAATTTCGTAATTTATAAAATATTTGCATATTGACCACAGGGAAAACTCTGGATATATCTATATATGTGTATATATATCTATTGCTCCAGACGGCAAGTCCTCGCACCTTGGTCCCACATTCATTTCAAAGAAGTGCTACTCTGTACTAAAATGGCGGCTCTTGATGCATTCCTTCCAATAGACAATAGCGTATGAGACATTAAATGTAAATATCTATGGCACCAGTCAACTTCCATAACGTGACTTACTAATGTTACAATGGAAGTTAACACCAGAAACCAACATTCCTCAAAATATATTTGTGTTCAACAAAGGAAACTCATAAAGGTTTAAAGCCACATGAAGAAGAATAAACTTATAATAATAACTTTCATTTTTTGGGTGAAATATACCTTTAAACCAATGGCTGTAAAAAACTTTAAACCTGAAAAGAAGCAGGCAGTTTCAAAGGCAGCCTGGCCGTTGGCGCCACTTCACGGGTCCTGGCGTTGCTTAGAGACGTGTTGTTGTCGTGCATGTTCACAGAGGATTTTCTGGAAGCAGATTCAGATTTTTCAGCACAAGATTGCGATGCTTTGTCATCCACAGTTCAGCGATTAATGCTAACAAACATACGACGTGCTCTAAACACATCTTGGGAAGACTTTTAGACAATAACGTACTCTAGACAATACGGATTTAACGCAGTAGGTTATAAAGCTCGAGAAACAAACGCGCTAATCTGCTAATTAGCCAGCAGGCTAGCCACTGTCGGTTTACATCAGGGAATATAACATTCGCTGTTGTTTCTGTCATTGTCTATCGTGAATATGAAGTAAATGGTGTGCGGGGAGCTAGAGAGTTTGTGATGGAGTGAAGCAGCGGGTGTAGGAGCTCTCCTATCGGCTGTTATCTGCAGTTAATCCCGCGGCTGTAAGAGGCTCAGTGTTAAACTCCTGCTGCCGCGGCTCGGGACTCTCGCCATGGACGCAGGAGGAAATTCTGACCTGGACCTGGACAAATATGACTCTGATGAGCAAGTGAAGATCATCTGCCTCGGAGACAGCGCTGTGGGGAAGTCCAAGTATGCTTCATGTGTTGCTAAACTGTTCATTTCTATCATTGGTAAGGTTATGTTTTGTTGAATACATTCTTTGATCATTTATTTGCAGGCTTATGGAGCGATTCCTCATGGATGGATAGTATCCTTTGTCGTTATTCATTAATTCATTTTCTTTTCGGTGTAGTCCCTTTATTAATCTGTTATCTAGCGTGTGATAACTGTTATCTGTTATCTACCAAACAGTGACAAAATTCACGGTTAAAAAATGTAAAATTGATATAAACATCCAAAGTTTGCAGTTTTTTTGTGTGGAACGTTCAACTAGAGTACAAAACAGAAAATGTGCAACTCCAATAACAACTAAAGTAGACAACGGAACAAAACAAAGAGAGAAACAAAAGATCATGCCAGGGGGAATATGAAAGACAAAAATCACTTTAAATCTATCTTAAAGCAAGTCCACAGTGATGTTTAAAAGGTCACATATAATACAGCCCGCTGGGATTTATAGAAAAGAGACAATACTGTAGGTTTCACATAGTGTTATTGATTTTAAGTGAAGTTTATTCATAAACTAATTTCGAGGGGATCTCGTGCTTATGATTGACACGGCTGGCCCCGAGTCAAGCTAATGTACGAACCACCAATCAGACTATTCCTAACCCAGTATAAATAACCAAACATCTTCCCTTTAGTCATCTTCGTCTCGAAGAATCCCCCCTTCCACCCCTTCTTCTCCTCTTTTCTACAGGGCAGCACGGCGGCCCAGTGGCTAGCACTGTGGCCTCACAGCAAAAAAATGCCTCCGACTCGGGTATCCACCCAACCGGACAGCATTTTCGTGTGGAGTTCATGTTCTCCCCGTGCTTGCGTGGGTTTTCCCCGGGTCCTCCGGTTTCCTCCCACACTCGCAAAAACATGAGACTTAAGTAAATTGACTAAACCAAATTAGCACCAAATTCAATTCTGTCAGCAACACATCACCTTAGCAATCCTTATGTAGCAGGAGGAGCAGGGAGGTTCTCGAGATCTACCCGAGCTCAAACTCCCCTCTCGCCTTGCAAAAGGAGGGAGCTCCGGGCTCAAGGATCTTTTGAGCTCGGGGCTCTCTCCCGGGACAGCATGCCAAACTAGCTTATTACCAATCATCAGCTAAGTGTGAACTCCTGAAAGCTTTAACATTGCTGAAGGTAGAGATTGTATTTAAATAATATTTTAAATTTTTGTAAATAAATAAGAAAAAAGGGCATTTACAGACAAAAAAAAACTTGCAATTGTGTATAAAAAATTTTGCTTGTAAAATAAATAGATTTATTAGAAAATATTTATCTTTAACTTTATCAGATTGATAAAAAAACAAATTAAACATCCTTGTATGACAAAGAAAAATGATTTAAAATATTTACAAATAAATAAAGTGAATTCTCTCCAAAAAATCTTGACATGGGCACATTACCAAAAAAGATGATCGACAGATTCATCTATTATTCCACAAAAGTTACAAAGGGGATCCTTTTCATGATGCATTTTTTTAATATAAACATTCACTGGATAAACTCAATGTAGCAATTTGAAGGAAACCTCTTTAACCTTATTTGTAATTAAAAATTTGTTGGGTAAAGACCACACAATCTTCCAAGGAATGTCATTAAATAAATTATTCCAGTGAAATATGACATGAGAAATAGAGGTTATTTCAGTCTAATAAAGATGCTAAAGCTTTCTATTTCTTAGAGAAGGGTTAAGTGTGAAACAAATTTTTCCAATCTCTGATCACTTGCAGTTAGTCACTTCCACTTAAATTCATAAACGATTTTTTCACGTCACCTCGTACTTCAGTTTCTCATCAAATCTTGATCAATCAAATGCGTTCTAGTAACTGACATGCCACGCCCCCTTCAAGACACTTCTCATTTGCTTTTCATTTGATGTTCAGTTGTTGCAAGATTGGATATGGTTACGGCCGGAAGTTAATGAGATATATTAAATTATAGATATATTAAATTATATAAAATTATATATTAAATTTCCCATTTATTGTATTCTTTTAACGTCAACCCCTACCACTACCCCTACCCTAAACCCAATCATCACAATAATGTAAAAACAGTAGGTGTACCAAGTACTATTTGTTATCTATTAAATAACCCAATAAATTGTATTTTTTAATGCCTACCCCCAACCATCACAGTACTGTAAAAATTTAAATTACTGTTATACAGTGTCATAAAAAATGCTGCTATATTGATGTGCATATCGCATTTCCGGCTGGCCACGTATCCGATCTAGACTTTACCTTAATGTTCTTGAGCTCAACCACTTCCACTGGCAGAGCTGCGATAAACCATCTATTTATTTTTTAGTTAAGATTACGTTAAAGTCGAATAAAAATGCACATTTTAAAGCAAGTAATTCAAGTAGAACATCTCAAAATGTACAGTAAATTTCAGTGTAACAAATTTTTGTAATATGAAATAACTTGCTTATTTTGAGAGGGTGGGGCATAGTGTAGCTCCTCCCCTTAAAAAAAAAACAGCCAATGGCGTTTTGGGTTATCATAACTCCATTGAGAGTGGTTGAGTGTCAAAAAAATAATAAGTCCATGTCCATAAGCACACGTACATCTGTGTATAAAACAGTTTAAAGTTAAATACTGTCCTGCGGTTTAAAGCAATGGGGAAAACGCAATGCGTTTGCATGCAGAATTTGCCTCATTCGCATCTTCCGCATTTGGTGTGAACCCAGCCGTGTTGGTTAATGCGAAAGGAGAAAACAGTGAACATGCTAACATCATTAGGCAAAAGCTTCAGTTGTTGTGTCCACAGGACAACACTGTTGCCAGAGTTTTAGAAAAAAAATCTTTACCCTTAGCTTTTTTAGTTTTCAGAAAATTAAATTTTGGTTTCAGTCAGCCGATACTTTTCAGCCGAATTGTGTTCTAAAAATAAAAAAGCTTTACTAACATTTCCTCACAATACAAATTTTGGCATCTTGAAGATGTATTATTTATTATTTTTCAAGAAAATTACAGAAAAGAATTGTTCCGAAATACAAATCATTTTAATAGTTGTATTTGAAAAATGAGTCTTCCCCACCAAATGTAGATTTCATACCTCCTTCACAAAAAAATTGCTTTAATTTATAACGTTGTTATTACAAATTTGGGCAGTATTGTATTGTATATCATAAAAAGTGTTTTACTCAAACACATGCATACACACTCAAATGTACAAATGTGTTTCTGGAAGTTGACAGAATCTTAACTGAATGTATCAGTCGGCCTCAGCAACTCTCCACTTACGCTTTGACTCTGTACAAATACACCACCACCATCAATGGACAGACCATTCTAGTTGGTGAGTAGTTGGTCGGTTGTACAATTGTGTATTGCAATGTTTAGCGTTCAGGTTTTGAGTACATAATAACTTTAAAGTGTGGGTTGAAGCTGTGCTGTTAAGCACATGTCTATCTGCATCACAGATTTCTGGGATACTGCAGGACAGGAGCGTTTTCGAAGCATGCACCCGTCGTACTATCATAAATCTCATGCTTGTGTCATGGTAAGAGAAACCACTCAGATGTTGGTGTTTTAGAATTAGTTGTTCTCCATTTTGTTGATTTTTAATGTAGTAAAACAGACTTTTAAAAAAAATTATATTTCATTATAGTTACATTTTTAAGTGCATTTCTTGTCAATTTTATGTTTATTATTAGCTTTCAGATTTTTTAATTTAATGATATCAAATAATCAACCCAGGCTCATTCTGAAAACGTAGTCCCGTGGACGTTTCTGGAGACTGCGAAATACGTCCAAGGAGGTACGTATTTTTGCATTTTTTTTTTGTGAATCCACGAGAGGCCGGTCATCGTCGTCGTGGTCAGCTCCTCTCTGCATCTCAAGTCCGTCAGCATACACGACGAGCTAACTGGACAAACTGGTTGCGGCGGGAAATCGCGGAAAGGAACGGCATCATACCGCACCGTAGCGTTCACTTAAGAAATGAAATGCAGCCATACGTACCTCCAGCTACATAATTTGCAGTCTCCAGAAACATCCATGGGACTACGTTTTCAGACTGAGCCTGGGGTTGCAAATAATACTCCAGATAATTTTAATTCAGTTAGGACGAGTTCATTTAGACTTTTTATAGACCATAACTTAATTCAGTGTTTGAACTCTCAGTAATGATTAAATCACACTGAACTGAGCTAAACTGAACTGAACTGAACTTAAACACTAAAAACTGAACTACACTGTTCCAGTTACTGAACCACACTGTTCCAGTTACTATGACCATTTATGTGAAGCTGCTTTGACACAATCTACATTGTAAAAGCGCTATACAAATAAAGCTGAATTAATTTTGTTGTCTAAAGATGTAATTTGGTGTAATTGAAAAAATTATAAAAAAGTATAAAAATGTATTATTTGTATGATTAATTTGTGTAGCTAATTAATTGCCACTAACAAAACACACATGCACTCTACACCATGTTATTGAGTCAAAGTGAAGATTGCTGGAGAGAATGTAGCAGATTTTTTCTTTTTTTTTTTCTTTTTTTTTGTTTGTCCAAAACTGTTTGATTAAACTGTTTACAATAAATGATTTTCCTAAAAAACAAAAAAGCTAATACAATGAATTTATCTTGCTTTTTCTACAGGTGTTTGATGTGCAGAGGAAAATCACATATAAGAATCTCACTGTCTGGTATAAAGAGCTGCGCGAGTACCGGCCCGAGATCCCGTGTCTGGTAGTGGCCAATAAGATTGATGGTAAATGTGCTTTATACCCGAGATTACAATACGAGCATTGTGGTTTGCATGTGTCTTATCTTCTATTCTTCATGTGTTTTAAAGCTGACATGAAGGTCACGCAGAAGAGCTTCAACTTCGCTAAGAAACAAGGCCTGCCTTTCTACTTTGTATCTGCTGCTGATGGAACCAATGTGGTAAAGGTGAGGATGAACACCAGGAAGAATAATGCCTTTATAATGCTTAATTTAAAAATTAATGAAAAGTTTAATGAATTCGAATCAGACTTGTGAATATAGTTTAGCTATATATTATTATAGAAATTCCCAATAAATGTATCTTTATGTAAACATATTCAGTAGCATTCAGAACGTTTGTATTAATATCCGTATTGTCCATACATCTCCCCTTTTCATCTTTCTTTTCAGTTTATGTCATCACATATCGGCAGTTTTCAGTATAATACTGTTTAGTTTTGTTTTTAGTGTTAAAGTAAATTATAAGCTGTCAAAAAGAATAGCAGAAGTTTTATCAGTAGTGTTTGTTTACATTTATTCAAGTTTTATTGTATAGCGCTTTTGACAATAATTATCGATCTAAAGAAACTTTACAAAAATGTGCACATTATTACTATCTTAAAGTTGAATTACATTACATTTATAGAAATAAAAAAAAAAAGTTAATGTATTTAGGGTCTAACATGGTTGTAATTTCTATTATTATTTATTACTTTAATACTTTTGAACTCAAAGAGTAATAATGTTACTAAAATTATTATGCAGGGCTCGAAAATGCACCCGAAATAGTATCTACGCGACCTCAAAATATATTTGGGAGCATTTGTGCAAGTGCATAAAATTGGATGTCATGCGACCAGTTTTCACAGCAAAACGTTCACCACATGCAATTGGAGTATAACATGGAGTAGTGGAATCATCATTAGGAGGCATTCACGCATTAGGCATCTTTGTACCTAAAAACAACAAACGCAGCGCTCAGGAATGGTTTAAAACAGTTGACATGTCAACTTGCTGCAGTAAACAAAGCACGCAATGCTTCCTCCGCCATCAAGTTCTTCTTATTGGCCCACTGCTCTAGAACAGAACGCGAATGGATTGGTTAATATCAGCTGTCAATCACTCAGTTCCGATGACAGGGAGCTACAGCCGTGAAAATGTAAAGGTCTTGATACGAGAGAATGAAAACAACAGTGACAGATTTAGTTTTAGAAACAACCTAAACTTATAAATAATGGCACAACTAATGAATGTCAATCCAGCATTTACACTTTTCGAAGAGTGGATAAAAGACTTCCAGTGGTTAAAGTCCACTATCAAAATGACTAAAACCATTTGCCGTAAAGCCGGTCTGACAGAGTTTTCAGTTAACAGTGTTTGCCACTGAATCTACACATTTTAAGCATGAGATGTTTTAACGTTATTTAATCTTTCAGTCGTGCGACTGACATGGCGTTCACCATTGCTAAAGAGCATGCATTCACTGAGATGAAACTAATATTGCAGCTCATGAAAAGACCGTTATTGCTATTAAGCAATTCATGTCAAGCAGTGTGTGCAGGGCCGGTGAGCGCATGCAGATTTTTGTTTATTTGTTGGTTTAAAGTGTTAATATATAATAGAATCTGTTATTATAAAACTTGTGGTAACGGTGCTCATAATTTTTGGTGGATGTGACTAAAGTTTTGGAGTTAGGAGCATCGGTGCTACCAAGAAAAAAGGTTAATTTCGAGCCCTGTAATGCGTCACATTTTAAAAAAAAAAATCTAAAAAGTAATTACTAAAAAAGTAATACTAATACAAAATAAATATTCTATTATTATTACACAATAAAAATTGTACTACATGCTAGTTTCTTTCCCCCAAAGCTTTCTGATGTTAAACCTTATTATTGGACAGAAAAAAAAACAGGGCAATTTCTCTTTTGCTTCTTTTTTTGTAGACAGCAGATTTATAAGCTCATTAATCAATTATTCTTATTACAAAACAAACAAACAAAACAACTAACAGTCATCCCAGCCTCTATAGATAGACTCACTGGCTACTTTATTAGGTACACCTTACTAGTACCAGGTTGAACACCCTTTTGCCTTTAGAACTGCCTTAATCTTTTGTGGCATAGATTCAGCAAGGTACTGGAAATATTCCTCAGAGATTTTGTCCATATTGACATGATAGCATCACGCAGTTGCTGCTGATTAGTCGGCTGCACATCCAGGATGCAAATCTCCCGTTCTACCTCATCCCAAAGGTGCTCTATTGGATTGAGACATGGTGACTGTGGAGGCACAGTACAGTGAACTTATTGTCATGTTCAAGAAACCAGTCTGAGATGATTCAAGCTTTATGACATGGTGAGTTATCCTGCTGGAAGTAGCCATCAAAAGATGCATACACTGTGATCATAAAGGGATGGACATAGTCAGCAACAATACTCAGGTAGGCTGTGGCAATAACACGATGCTCAATTTGTACTAATGGGCCCAAAGTGTGCCAAGAAAGTATCCCCCACACCATTACACCACCACCACCACCAGCCTGAACCGTTGATAAAAGCCAGGATGAATCTATGCTTTCATGATGTTGATGCCAAATTCTGACCCTACTATTTAAATATCGCAGCAGAAATCGAGACTCATAAGACCAAACAATGTTTTTCCAATCTTCTATTATCCAATTTTGGTGAGCCTGCATGAATTGTAGCCTCAGCTCTGCCGCTGTAGCCCATCCTCCTCAAAGTTGGACGTGTTGTGCATTCAGAGATGCTCTTCTACATACCTCGATTGTAGCAAGTGGTTATTTGAGTTACTGTTGCCTTTCTATCAGCTTGGACCAGTCTGGCCATTCTCCTCTGACCACTGGCATCAACAGGGCATTTGTGCCCCCAGAACTGAGGCTCACTTGATACTTTCTCTTTTTCGAACCATTCTCTGTAAACCCTAGAGATGGTTGTGCGTGAAAACCCCAGTAGATCAGCAGTTTCTGAAATACACAGACCATTCCGTCTGGCACCAACAATCATGCCATGTTCAAAGTCACTTAAATCACCTTTCTTCCTGATTCTGATGCTCGCTTTGATCTGCAGCAGATCGTCTTGACCATGTCTACATGCCTAAATGCATTGAGTTGCTGCCATGTGATTGGCTGATTAAAAATTTGCGTTAATTAGCAGTTGGAGAGGTGTACCTAATAAAGTGTCAGGGTGAGTGTATATTCCAATGTCTATTTTGATTCACATTTGTGTTTATATCATTTCCAAACCAGTGCCAGACTAGCTTAAACTTAGCAATCTTAAACTTAGTCTACCTTTAAACTTCTATTTAATGTGTTTCACAATTAAGATTTTATCCTTGTGTTCTGCTGCTCTTTAATGTTCCTCAGGTGTTTAAAGACGCTATTCAGATGGCGCTGTCCTACAAGAGGAACTCCAGCGACTTTATGGATGAAGTCATGAGGGAACTAGAGGTGCGCGTAAACACTAAACACCACACTCTTCTCAAAATAATACACACCACTGATTTTACTCACTTGTTTCTGCAGAACTTTGATTTAGAGAACAAGGAAGAATCATCAGATAAAGAGGAAACGCAGGAGGAGAAACCTAGCTCTGCATGACCTCATCATCTTCATCATTTTTACCATCGTCTGTCCTCAGTTCATGGCTGTTCTTTCAGCAGACACAACACAATATGATCCTGTGAATGTACACGTGGCATTATCTGACATCAGAATGAAATCTCGGTGCACTGCAGATTTTTGATATTTCATGGAAATTGTGCAGCATTCAGATTTAGTAAAAAGTAGTCCTCTATAGAGACTCTCTGCAATGTGAAGTGTTTCCTGTGCCGAATTTAACATGTTTTTACATTATTATTTTGTTTTCAGAGGGAAATAAATATTTATGAGACTTTCTCACAAAGTGTAATGTTTTACAGCAAATGCTCAAGTAACAATCTGTGACGCTCACCAATATGAATAAAGTACTTGATTTTTGTATGGGTAGTTGATTACATTTGGAAGTAGTTGTTATTATAACAGTTGAAAATGTGAAAAAAAAAAGATTTATTTGCCCTCAGGGCATTCAAGAATAAGGTAAATATTTCCTTTCTTTTTGTCATTAAAGGAGATTTTTAGAGTTAATTAACACAAAATAAATCATACAGACAAAACGAAATGCATACCTGTGAATCTTGGTGTTATATTGAAGTCGTAAGAAGATAAACTATCAGTACTGTGCAGAAAATGAACATGATTAACAACATTATACCATGTAATGTTTGTACCAATATAACAGTCATAGCAAACCGTCCTGTGTGTTCTATTGTAATCGTTGACTTGCATTCCAGTCACCTAGTTATGGTTTCGACAAAAAAGATAAATAATATATATGTTACAGAAGAAACAAAAACACATCTTGAATGAGTAAATAAAATAATTTTCAATTTGAGAGTAAAATTTCTTTGCAAAAATTAAACATTTCGAAAGACAAAATGGCCGTCAGTTACAAACGTAGACGCTTAGCTTATTTGCCAATCGAATCCTCTCTGGATGTGACAAACATACACGAACGTGTTTGTCTGGATGTTATAGAACACGTGACTGGAACAAACTTGAGAATGTGCAGCTTTCAAACACTGACCTTTATATCTGAGATTCTGAAGGGACGTGCAGCGCTGCTCTTTATCCTTAAAACCTGTGGAGGACATGTCTGTCATATCACAACCAAATCCAAACATCTTTCAACCTTTGTTGTCGATTGTAAAGTATTAGTTCATGTTTAACAAATATCGTTTTTGTCGGGTTGTTTAATTGTAAAGGCTGAAATGCATGTTTTTAGAAATATTTAGCCTACATTTCATCAGATCTTCTAGACAAACGATGGCAAGAGAAATCTCATTCGAATCCCCTTTAGAAATCACAATTTTTAATTAGGCTATTTGCTTTTGTGATGTTTTGCACAAGTGCTTTATACAGTTTATATAGTGTGTTTAAATGGAACCAGCTTTGTTTTGCACTTGAATGTGTATATCTTGAGATTAGGGAAAACAATCTTGCTAAAACCTCTGTTGTTTTTGTGTAGTATACACAAATATCTTGTACTGTGAACAGAATGTGATTCATATTAAAAAAATATATAAACAGATTTTACAGTGCATCACTTATTAATTAACAGCACAAATGAGGTCTGCATGTAACTTGCATGACAAGTAGTGTTCAATGTCTCATATCAACCACTCCAATGTAAAAATATAAACCTTAAGTTTAATTATAACATACTTTTTATAATTTATGTTAGAAATCAAACATCTGAAATTACTTTAGTAACCAGGCCGGAATTTTTTTCATGTCATTTTATTGTCTAAGCTATTTCATTATATTCTTTTCAAGAGTTTCAAACTAGCAAAATAACAAATCACTAAAAGTTTTCACCCCACACTTACCTTTCTTTATGTTTCTGATAGCTCCTAATTTATTTAGGGTAAAAAAGGGAAAGGTAAACCTTGAGTTAACATCCTTATTTATGACTACAATACTAGTAAATTTTCCCAGGACTTCTCAGATTTTTGTGGCCTAAAATGATTGATTAGAAGCAGCGTTTCTCAGAACGTGAGGCCATATGGGTGTCAGTTCATGTATTGTTTTGCACTGAAAATATACATCAACAAACATGTAAAATAAAAAGGAATAAATAACATTCTGAAAACCACTGTGCTCTGTAAAGGAAAGAGAAACTAGAGAAATAAGGTATTATCTTCTATATATTAGCAAAATGATTAGGCTAATGACTTCCAAAGGAGATTCAGAGCAAGAAATCAGTAAGTAAGTCAGGATTACCACTGTAAAAAGTAGTCACTCACCGGCCACTATATTAGGTACACCTTACAGGTTGGATCCCCTTTTGCCTTCAGAACTGCCTCAACACGCAGTTGCTGCAGATTTGTCGACTGCACATCCATTATGCTAATCTCTCGCGCCACCACATCCCAAAGGTGCTCTATTGGATTGAGATATGGGAACTGTGGAGGCCATTTGAGTACAGTGAACTCATTTGTCATGTTCAAGAAACCAGTCTGAGATGATTTGTGCTTTATGACATGGTGCGTTATCCTGCTGGAAGTAGCCTTCAGAAGATGGGTACATTGTGGTCATAAAGGGATGGACATGGTCAGCAACAATACTCATGTAGGCTGTGGCATTGACACAATGCTCACTTGATACTAATGGGCTTAAAATGTGCCAAGAAAATTTCCCCCACACCATTCAAGCAGCAGCCTGAACTCTTGATACAAGGCAGGATGGATCCATGCTTTCATGTTGTTGACGCCAAATTCTGACACTACCATCTGAATGTCGCAGCAGAAATCGAGACTCATCAGAGCTGGCAACTTTTTTTCCAATCTTCTATTGTCCAATTTTGGTGAGCCTTTGCGAATTGTAGCCTTAGTTTCCTGTTCTTAGCTGATAGGAGTGACACCCGGTGTAGTCTTCTGCTGCTGTAGCCCATCTGTGTCAAGGTTGGACGTGTTGTGTGTTCAGAGATGCTCTTCTGCATACCTCGGTTGTAACGAGTGGTTATTTGAGTTACTGTTGCCTTTCTATCATTTGGCCATTCTCCTCTGACTTCTGGCATCAACAAAGCATTTGCACCCACAGAACTGCCGCTCACTGGACATTTCTCTTTTTCGGACCATTCTCTGTAAACCCTAGAGATAGTTGTGCGTGAAAATCCCAGTAGATGAGCAGTTTTTGAAATAATCAGACTAGCCAGTCTGGCACCAACAACCATGCCACTTTTAAAGTCACTTCTATCACCTTTCTTCCCCATTCTGATGCTCAGTTTGAACTGCAGCAGGTCATCTTGACCATGTCTACATGTCTAAATGCACTGAGTTGCAGCCAAGTGATTGGCTGATTAGAAATTAGCGTTAACGAGCAGTTGCACAGGTGTACCTAATAAAGTGGCAGGTTTACCAAGAAACAGAAAATGATATCTGAATCTGACTTTTTAGGCGAACTACATCCCTTTAGGAGAACAGTGAAATAACCTTCATCAGCAACACATCAACCCACCAGAAAACAATGCTCATTAAAGCAGTGCATACTGCATTTCTTGCCATTTTTATTGTGCTTTTGTTGATCAGAAAACAAGATGGACAAACCCTTTAGAACATACTGCAGTCATGTGAATGATGTGTTTTATTTCATGTTTCGTCCTGCCATTGGTTGAGTAAAATTACAAAGAAATCATTTGCAATTTGTCATTTCAAGGGTAAATATGCAGACGTCTGTGCTACATTGGGGAAAAGTAAAGGGCAAAGAGATCTGGGCCAAAACATCCACCAAATGTGCAAGTCAAAGCTAATTTACTGGAATCCAGGTTTTAAGGACAGGGATGAAACCATTAATAGGGCCACATATGCAAATCATAGCAAATATAAAAACAGAATGTATATAAACTCCTATATATTTGGGTAAACAGAAAAGAAAGAGATGTCTGTAGTCTCAAGATTTCCAGGAGGTGGCACCATAGTGCTGCTTTAACAGCGTTTAGTTCTCTACAAACCTCAAAGAAATGCTTTAAAAAAATGTAATTACTTTTTGGCACATTTTTCATGTCCTTTCATCTCCTGCTAGAACAACTATAACATCATGTATATGACATAAAATCAAAGATGAAAGTGATGTGTACGAAACGAAAATCACAGCTTGAGTTTTCAGAAGATGAGAAGAGTGAAACTGATACATATGGCTCAGAAATGCAGCTCCAAGTCTCCAGAGTGGGACCACATCCACAACACACACATACACACACACACACACACACACACACACACACACACACACACACACACGCACACACACACACGCACACACACACACACACACACACACACACTTTTGTTCGTCAGGATGAGATGGAGCAAGGGAAAATAGAGAAAATAAATAGGTCATCTCTAAATTCTGTGATGATTTCATATAGAAGTCTGAAGTGGAATGAAGGGATCTGTGGGTGTATTCTTCGGGGCTCGTCTGCAGTAAAATTAGTTCACAGTTATCTTAGGGCCTCAACTCCAAACGGCCCCTTAGCGCCTTCATTCAAGCCCTTGTAGGTCAGGATCTCTGGTGGTCGGCTAAATGAGCTTTCTCACAGACAAATAGTTAACTAGTCTTTATCTAGGATGAGGGAATAAACATCGGTCAGAGTAAATGCCATGCTGAGGCGATTAATGTACAGTCCGATCATTATGACAAGGTCATAGGTCATGTCTATTTTTAAAAATCCTTAGTTTAATCTTAATGACATTCAAAGAAAGAATGTTTATTCATTCATTCATTTTTCTTTGGCTTAGTTCAGCGGAATGAACTGCCAACTATTTTACGCAGCAGATGCCCTTCCAGCTGCAACCCAGTACTGGGAAACACCCAATGTTGTTAATACAGTAAAATGTAATTCATTCCTGTGATTCAAAGCTTCAGCGCTATTACTCCAGCCTTCTAGTCAATGTGACATCATCCTTCAGAAATAATTCTAAAATAAATTTTTCTAATTATTTTTATTATTATTATTTATTTTTAAAAACAGTTTGTATCGCTTGATTTTTTTTCATGAACCATAATTATTATTATTTTTTCATTAAGAATTTTAAAGCCAACAAAACTTTTTTGAATTATTAAGCTTTGGTAACAAACCTTTAATATAATAAATTTAATTAATTCTTTATAAATCCACACACACACACACACACACACACACACACACACACACACACACACACACACACACACACACACACACACACACACACATACACACACACACACACACACACACACACACACACACACACACACACACACACACACACACGCACACACACACACACACACACACACACGGAAAAAAACAAAAACTGACTTTAAATGTTAGATGATACTCTATAATGTTAATAAAGACTTTGTAAAATTACATTTACACTATCTTACGTTTAGATTGTCCTTGCTTTTATTTATGACCCCTAATCTTAATTAAATATATTAATTTGAATGTCCAATCCAACCTCTATGCATTGTCATTCTGTGTAATTTAAATACTCTATAATGCCAGTCCCGTTTTAAAATTAGCATAAACCTTAAAATGTCACCTCGATACCTGTTTTTGTACCAAAATTTATATGACCAGCCCAGAAAAATTGTTTCAAAAAACTTATAATGTCAGTTTGTAAATGTTTAACTTTTTTTTTTTGACTTACTGCTCAAACTGGCATCAGACGTTGTCAACGCAGAGATCGAAGTTGCTTTTTACAGTTCCAAAACGTAATTAAATGTCCTGTCAAATATATCATCAAACAATTGTTAATTGCAACCCAGGCTCATTGGAAATACATGCCTTAGCCTAAATTTTTAACGTAAAATACGTTGCTCCGGGTACGTTTTATTGCATGTTTCAGATGTCAAATCCACTAGAGGGCACAGTCTACACTTTCACATATCTCAAATACATTACTTAGTGTATGTTTTGTTGTATGTTTCAGATACACGTCCTTCTTGTATATGTCCACAAGGCGGCAGGGCTTGTCGTACAGACCACTGACCTAAAACCTTCCTAACAGTGTTTTTTAAAAGCCATTCAGCAGTTTTCGTTTTTGTCATCAAATTAATAAAAAATTTATAAACTATTACAACTCAGAATAATGTCTTGTGTCTATTTTTTTTGTGGTAAGAAGCCATTTAATAAGTGGGATAAAGTACATCCAGGTGGTCGTTTTCGCAAAATAAAGCCCTACAGTCTTATAAAACATTGCTCCAGTTTATTTTGCGATAACAACCGCCTGGATGTACTTTATCCCTTACTCAATTTCACTAGTGTAAAAATCGATAAAAGTTGTTGCCGTCATACCAACATCTCACGGCAATTCATAACTTTTGATTCAGTGGCTAATTTGTATGAAATTGTAATACTAATTAGTATGATTTGCACATCCTCCAATGAGTGTTGGGTTTAGGGGTGGGGTTTGGTGCCATGCCTCCATTTATCTGTTTTCGTTTCTGTCAGCTGAATGAAAAAATGAATAAACTGTTACAACTCAGAACACTGTTTTTGTGTCTATTTTTTCATTTTGCGGCAAGAAGCCTTTTAATAAG